GGGCCAAGAAGTCGGATTGGACTTCATATAGCTTCATACGTAGACTGAGGGTGCAAGAGATGCAGTTAATACGTTGCAGAAACCCGCCGCGATGTTTCAACTTCGAGAATATGCAGCCAAGGCTCGCCTCCATCTTTTCGCCATGAAAATACATGGCCAAAACACGACGAGACAACTGTACGCATCTTTTACGTGGTCAAAACGGGGCTCAGGTTTTGACGGTGAGAATACGTGGTTGGTATTTGCAGTTTTGCCAGCATAACTCCGAGTTGGTATTTTATGGGAAAGTGCAGTGACGTCTTCTAACTTAAAGCTGATCGATGTCCTCGTCTTCAACATCTATTTTCCTCCCATGGAGACGTCGACGAGCGCTCGATTTGTGAGCTTTTTCCATCGGAACTTTCCCCATTCTCCTATCCGAGTTATAGTAACATACTACACTCATTGAGGCTGGCAGCGACTATTTCCAATATTCCTCCTCGGACTCCCCTCTGTCCCTTTCGATTCGGTAGAATGCCAGATGGTCAGATATACAAAATTTGTCCCTCAGGTGCATCCTTCTCGTCTTACCACTGTCGACCCACCCTCGACAGCATCCATAGTCCCGAGCTTATCCAGTGAGATCGAGGCCACTCGCAATTCAAGGAATTTAGACAAGTCGGCGAATGAATCAGAGATTTGGGGGAGATAACCGTGAATCATCTGTTACGCACCCATAACTCCTGGTGGCGGATCCCTCCGCCTTATAAGACGCGTCTGCCTTCCCAAATCAGGCCATCCTCCCCCTCCTTCAGGTCGTCTCTCCCCGACCTCGAATTCCAGATATCCCACTCGAATTCGTCAGATCGGTAACACCAGCATTACCGAATGCCCGACCAACAGGACCAAGACGATTCAAAGACGGGAATTTGAACGAAGTTGCCACACATGATCCTATATCATAACAGCTCACCCGTCGGTAGCGACGTCTTCACCCCGAATCCAACCCAGGCTCCACTCGAACCACCACGACCAGGCCTAGTTGTAGTTGTATGCTGCAGGACATTGAACACCACATCCAATACCATTATAAGGTCTGTATGGTGCATATGAAGTGAATAGGACAGGAACACGTGGGCGGCGTCGATGGGAGGCGACAAAAACACGCCAAGTGGGTGCAACGAGCGTCTACGAACAGATCCTTAGTCATGACTAACGAAACGGATACAATACAATGACTTACCTTCCAGGAAATTAGCGCCTTTCGTCACCCCAGTGAGACTGGCAATGTGCGAAACATTGACAAGCGGAGATGAAGGGGCACGTTCACTCAGCTGTGCTGTCACGAATCGCCAAACATGTGGAATAAGGCTCGTCGAGCAATGGCAAGTATATCCCTTCTTGACGACTTGCAATGGATTGACAACGGCACGTCGAGGCATCACCGCCCTATCCGAGTCCAATCGATAAATTGATAAAATGTTAGATCAATACTTACGGTAACGTGCCATTCCAAGAGTCGCAGTTACAATCGCATGAATCCACCGCCTTCTAACCTTCTTCTTTCTTCAAAACATATTCAACTCTTCAGACGACCGACTTAATATCGATAAACTCCAGCCGATCTTCCTCATCTCGTAATTCTTCGACAATGGCGCACCTATTCTTCCTCGAGTGGGAAGAGGGTTAGCATTTGTAGACAGAGACGCCTGACCAGGGTTCGTTGTCTTATCGTCGTGGGGGCGGACGAAAGTTCGATTCCAGGCTCTCCGATCGTCAAAACTCCTAGACGTGTCAGGAATCAGGATTGTTGAATCAAGGACGACGCTCTCGACTTCATTCACAAGAACAGATCTGGGACTACGTATGCTTTCTGGAATGGGTCGATGGTGATGAAGCGAGAGGTGGTGTACATACCCGAGGACAGCGTCAACAGGAACACTGATAGGCACTGGCCTTCGAGCCGTCCTGTGCTTGTGAATGTTGAGTAAAAGGATTTGAATAAAGTAGAAGACCAGAAAACCAGAGAGAAATGCCCAGCGAACCCAACTTTGCGAGACAGTAGTAGGCGTGATCGATTGATCTCTCCTGTCATACCTTACCGGTTCGAGATGGCTGGAAAAGCTGATGGGGCCAGAGCCCACAGAGAGAAGAAGGGAGCTGTTTACCCTAACGGGAACTGGGCAACAAGGAGAATCCTCATACGTTTGTGAAAGTGAGGGTTCACCGGCATTCTCCAATGCCCTAGACAACGTCGCTGAACTGGTGAGGACCGTAGTTACCGGCACCTCCATGTGAAAGACGCCGATTGGTCCAGAGTGTGAACTTTTGTTACCGCTAGCCAATCAGTGTTGTACTGTCACCACTGTGGCTGGTGTCCTAAATCCGTCCCTGCCGGCAAAAGGCGAGCTGAGGGTGTTTTTCAGGCTTTCAGGTTCGGGAGACGGGACTGACTTATCACTTGGAAACTGGCCTTTCGTCATTCAAGAGCATTAAAATGGTTGGACTTCAAAGGTCCTCGTCTTTCTTTGCCCCATATTCCAACCCTCTTGGATTTTCAAAGAGCAATCTTCTTCGATCTCGCTCTCCTCAACCGCACCTTAAATGGTGTGCAAACTTTTATCCAAACTAAGGCGCTATCTGCGTCGGAATCATGCGCCGGAAACTATGACCTCAAACACACCAACAGGTGGATTAACTGGCGTGAACCCGTGAGTTGTACCACAAAGTGGGTGGTACCTCTTTACTTACCCCTCTTTCTCTACCCCTTATAATACAGCACGGCCGGCGTTACGCTCAACGTTGCGCGCAATAGCACCGTCAAGCTTAAGGTGGTCAATAGTAAGTTGAGCTCACTGCCTCCTTTGTACGTACTCACCTTCCCATCCTTAATATATAGATTGGTATACGAACAACGGGACTGGATCTCAGAACGTCGAGAACGGCGATGGTGGTATGTCAAATAGTAAGCCTCTTTCAAGTTACTTCTGGTGGTTATCCTCGACTCACCTTTGGATCGTTCGACAAACAGATAACCCGACGTTTGTGCACGAAGGACAAGCCCAGAGTTCTCAGCAAGGATAATATGGTGCACTGCAGTAGCCATTGTCCCGTGCTAGGTCGTCGAGTACGCATCCTTGTCGTCTCAAGTGAGGGTGTCCAGATCGATATCGAGTGCACTGGTGAATAGAAAATGTATTCCCTATGACTGTCCGCCCTACACAAAATTAAGTTGACGCCGAGGTTGCACAACGCACAACGGCCAGGTCGCACAACACAAACTCCACTTGCTGAGGTTTCCCTGAAAGTCGCCCTTAATTCATCCCGGCGGGATTCCACGTGTCTGCCAAACGCGTCACCAGTCGCCTGATGTCCACCTACCCTCTCCGGCAGCTCCGACGGCAACTCCCCACATCTCGCATGACATTGACAACGATGGTGTGGTAGCTCATTCCGTCTGCCAAAGACACAGAAGGTCTCCAGTTCGAACCTGGATTGCTTGTTGTGATTCCTAGATTAACTTTGAGAAGATCACAGTCGTGCTTCATGGCTCCGCTTACGGTTATGATAAGGACAACCACGACGAGGATACAATCCCGATGGTCTTACCCTTGAGTCAATGACCAGACCGCAATCCCTCTCTCACAATGCGCGATGCACACGAGAATAACATGGAGGCCTTTTCCCTTCAAATCAAAGAAGGAGGCTGTACAATATCGAGGTCTAGAATGAATAGACGCCATTAGCACACCCGACTATAATCCAATCGACCCACTTACATCGGTTATTTGTTTTTGGTATAATACGGTGCTGAAGGTGGCATGCATCCCATTTTTGGAAATGGGCCCTCGGAAGGATTGGCGATCACCTGCACTACCACTGCGAGAGGAGCAACTCCCCTCGCTGCTGATGAATCATCGTTGCCCAGCCACACTATCGGGCTATCATTCCTATGCCCCGTCTCAAATCCCGCAAGAGCATCTGGACAATAGCATAGTTGGTTTGCGCACCTGTGTCACACATGTACATCCACATTGGCAGAAGGTCCCCAGTTCGAATCTGGGTTGTTCACTTTAAAACCATATGAGCAGAAGCTTTTGTGCGAGACTTACAGACTCTTTTCTTCACCAGCGTACTCCAGCGGACGTTATCTAACGCCCTATTGGAATTTGATTCTAAACACGCTTCCAACCTGTCCTGCTCGGACTCACCTCCGCATCTCTCACCGGAGCAATGGCGTAGTTGGCTGTCGCCGCATCTGTCTAACCCACAGAAAGTCCTGAGTTCGAACCTGGGTTGTTCCATATACCTGCAGTGTTTTCAGTTTTCTTGCTCTTGCTTTTGTTACGATAGGATCATCCGCTATCCAAGCACATCTTCAACCGAATGCAACTAAGACGACGAAATTCCATACATCGCATCAGAACAATGGCGTAGTTGGTTGTCGCATCTGTCTCATGTAAATTGAAAAAGGTGCCCGGTTCGAACCTGGGTTGTTCATTCAAGACGAGACTGTCGGAAAATGTTTTTTGAGAAGACTTGATGGCTCTGCTTACGTCTATTCTCCTCGTTCTATCACTCCCAACGCACAATCCCAACGCACAATGAAGCCGCTTTGCTTCCTCAGGACACGAGGTGGTACGATATCGTGTCGTCTAGAACGCATATACGCTGTTAGCACCCCAACTATACGCATAGGATCCAATCGACTCACTTACATCAATCCTCCTCCTCCTCCGCCCCCGCCTGCTCATCCAATTTACTCACCACTCCTTCACCCAACTCTCTCTCCTCCTTCAACGCCTCTTTCAACTTTTGCAATTGAACCACAATAGCCGTATTCACACCCTGTGCCCCAGTCGTACTTCTCGCTTGTAGATCATCGACAAACGTCCCTAGTCGCTTTTGAACCTTTTTGGCTGAGATGGGTGTTTGTGAGTTGGGTTGAATTCGAAGTGGTGGATGGAGTGGTGCATCCATCGAGCGAGAGCGATAGTTTTAGAGGTGAGGCCTGTGACGAACAACCCTGAACGAAATCACCATGACCGCAATCGGATTTGTTGCACGCGATTGAATTTCTTACGTAAGCTCGATCTGGCAGCTGCCGCAGAATGGGGTGACGACGACGAATCGTACGACTCAAAAAAAATCATTTTATAAAAAGACACTCCTTCAGACTCGTTCGTTTTTTTTTCTTTCGTTCTGTACAACCTTTTCTTTGTGATCGTTCACCTCGTCGTCGTTGTCGTCGTTGTTCTCGCCGACTTGCGTAATCACCATCGCCTAAACCATCGCCTTGAAACGCCGAAGGTCACCACTGACAACCCCGTTGAGATATCCGAATTGCCAGCTCATCTCAATCTAATACGCTTCAAAAACTTTGGTTGGCGCAGCACCACTTCCATCAGCAGGACCATTCCCACCAACCAACTCTTCCTCGCCATTCACATTCACACCCCCACACAATGGGCGTAACCAACTGGCTTGTCCTTTTCCTCACACACCCAAACGAATTCCGTACCCTCCTCCAATTCTACTTGTACCATGAACAAAAACGAGATATCCAAGCTACCCAAGAACATCCTACTTCTGGATGGGATCGTGCTTCCATGAGAAGATGTTGGGAGTTTTTAGATCAGACAAGTAGGAGTTTTGCGGCGGTTATTAAAGAGTTGGATGGGGATCTTGCTAGGACTGTGAGTATGCATCCAGCGCTTTTTGGGCGATATGTTCATTTCGTACTTTGGGTATGGGGACTGACGGTGATGCGTTTCTAGATATGTTTGTTCTATCTGGTATTAAGAGGTCTTGATACGATTGAAGATGATATGACAATACCGGATGAAGTTAAACAACCCATCTTACGGTCTTTTCATAAACATACCGTAACCCCAGGATGGACTTTCGACGGGTGCGGTCCCAAGGAGAAAGACCGTCAAGTACTCGTCGAATACAACATCATCGTTGACGAGCTCAACCTCTTACTACCCGAGTACGTTCTGTCCCGTCCCCACCCGCATCTTCCCTCCTTCCCTTCCCCTCGATCTCACACCTACCCTCCCTACAGATACCGCGAAGTCATAATCGACATAACCCACAAAATGGCTAACGGCATGGCCGACTACGCCCACAAAGCCGCTACAACCGGTTCCATCTACCTCTCCACCATCTCCGAATACGATTTATACTGCCACTACGTCGCCGGTCTCGTCGGTGAAGGTTTATCCCGAATCTTCTCTGCCTCAAAGAAAGAAGCACCTTGGCTTGGATCTCAACTCGAATTATCCAACTCTATGGGTTTACTCCTCCAAAAAACGAATATCATTAGGGATTTCCGGGAGGATACGGATCAACATCGTCATTTTTGGCCAAAGGAGATATGGGGGAGGAAGGAGTTTGGGTTTGAGGAGATGAATGAGATGTATAGGGATGGAGCGGAGGAAAGAGCTTTGTGGGTGTCGACGGCGATGATTGTGGATGCGTTGAGACATGCGACGGATGCGTTGGATTATTTGAGGTTGTTGAAGAATCAGAGTGTGTTTAATTTTTGTGCGATTCCGGCGGCGATGGCGATTGCGACGTTGGAGCTTTGTTTTATGAATCCGAAGATGTTTCAGATGAATATCAAGATTAGGAAGGCGGAGGCTGCGAAGGTGTGTGTCGTTTTTGGGTTTTGGTTTTGCCCGTTTTTTCTATTTTTTCTGCGCGTTTCTTCTCGTATTGTGACTTCTCTTTTACTGATGGACGTCCTTAGTTGATCATGAGGTCGACGAACCCGAGAGAGGTCGCGGTGATTTTTAGGGAGTATACGAGGAAGATCCATCGGAAAGCTGTCATCTCAGATCCTAACTTCCTAGAGCTTTCGGTTACTTGTGGAAAGGTTCGTTCATCCTGTCTTCGTCTTCATCCAATTCGATTCCCCCCCACACACACGCTAACCCACCTACCCTCGTAGATCGAACAATGGTGTGAACACCACTTCCCCTCATTCGTCCAACTCGTCGAACGTAAAGCCGGTTCTCATCCAGCCGCGCCCACATCCAACGAATTGTCTCTAAACCCATACGACTTACGTTCTAAAATTGTTCAACGACATCAATTGCTTGATGCTGCGGAGGAGAAAAAGCAGATGGCGGAGAGGTTTAATGCACGTGTTGCTGCTCGTGGTGGTGTCGTTGGTGCTGGGGCCGGTGGTGGTGCAGTAGGGGAAGGCGCGGGTCTGTTGGGTACCTCGGCTGACTTTTGGGAGTTTGTGACTTGGATTGGAGGCGCTTTGTTTTTGATACTTGGGTTGAGTGGTGGTATTATTTGGGCTGTGTTGAAGTTTTCGGAGGAGTTTGAGTAGGCCGTCCGTGTCCTATCCTGTCGTTTTTCCCTTTTTCTTTTTTCTTTTATCCCTCTGGGTTAGCATCGCAGAAACGAATCGGTATTACTATTATTGGCTTCTCTCGACGATGAAGAACTTGAATGCGTGTATACATATATAGATATCATCCATACATACCATAGGTAGTTACTTGTAGATATCGTACCATATCCTGGAGCTTTGTTACGGGCTAGCGACCGCTTGCGCTTTTTATATAATTATTCGTATCTCAGATCTCTCGTTCGGGTTCTGGTTTGAATCCTCGAGCGCTGTGCCGTATCCTGTCAAAAACACAAACAACCCAGGAGTACTGGAACCAACCCAGATTCGAACTGGGGACTATATCTGTGTGTTAGACAGACGTTGCGGTAACCAACTCTACCATTTGTTCCGGTAGAGGAGGCGCCGGATTCCTGAGAGTATGGTGATTGGTCGATCAAGACACGTGTGATACCGCCGGCACTTGCGATCATAAAAATCGACCGGAGTGACCTTACTTACAAAGCGCCTGGCACTGGCATCGTGGCAATGGACACACCTCTCTACCTACCACCTCGAATTCACTCCAATTAACGAACCCCCATCCCGGTCAAAGGTTCAAAAACGCCTAGGAACGATCTACAGGTGAGGAGTACGACTAGGGCACAGGGCGTGAATATACTCTAGCTGTTGCAAGAGTAGGAGGCGTTGGAGAGAGGGAGTTGGGTGAGGACTGAGTGAGTAGATTTTGTGAGTAGGCGGAGGCGGAGGTAGAGGAGGATGGATGTATATTGTAAGTGAGTCGATTGGATACTACCACTTCAATATTCCTCTCTCAGTTGAACCTTCGCAAAGAGATTTCTGCCGCCGTCGTCGTTCAGCCGGGCCATGAGGCGCTCCTTCATGTCAATGATGTCATCAAAAAAAAATGAATACTCTCCTCTTTCATTGAACAACCCGGATTCGAACTGGGAGCTTCTGTCAATTTATTTGAAGAAGATGGGATAACCAACTACGCCATTGTTCTCATGCGAAATCTAGGAAGGAGTTGATGGACGATGGACCGGCTAGGTTAACGCACTTGTGAGGATTCCGCTGTAGCAAACGGTGATACAGCCATTTATATTCTAATTTGGGATCATGCCAGTGACCTGATCACGACACGACGTCTTGGTCCAAAGACTCTCGATGTTACAAAGACCAAGTCCGTCAGTATCACATCCTGTCAAAAATGAACAAAATCTTTCGATTAAAATCGGACCAACCCAGATTCGAACTGAGGACGTGGAGGTTCTATCTGTTAGACAGATGACCAACTACACCATCGTTCCGAGGAGAGATTAATGGTCGCATCCGAGATCTTGAGAGGGTAATTGATCGATCAGGACACGTGGCTCACCGCAGCTGGGTGTTTACGACCGCGAACGCTCGATAGCTTCCGCCGTTGTAACTTATCGCTCATCATCTGAATATCGTCTTATCTCCTAAAAAAGGCGTTTGTTTGATACAAGTAAGCGTGGTTGTTGGGTTTGCGTATACTACTTGAGTGTGCTGATGGCGTATATGCGTCCTAGAGGACTCTATACTCAGCAAATATTAATGGGCCACGGCAGACGGGTGGGAGGACCGTAGATCGTCGTCGACCTTTGGTCAACTCCTCGCAGCCAAACGTGGGACATGGGCGGCTTGTGGATGACGGAAGAGAAATGACGAAAAAATGATGGTTCCTGCTCACCTTTCCGGATAAAAGACCGAGCCTATGTAAGTTAATCTCATTCGGACTAGGAATTGTGCCAGCTCACCACCAAACGAAACACAGGGCCTACATAGATCACTGCAAGAAAGGAATTGATATTGATTAGCTTTCCATTGGTTCAGAATTGTAAGCAGAGTCATCGAGTCCAACCTATTATCTTCTCAAAAAAGCCTTTCCCTCACCGTCTTATCTACAATAAACAACCCAGGTTCGAATTGAGGACTTTCAGCATCTGTGATCGAAGGGGTGACCGAGCACACCATTGCCACGCATGATGAGCAGGGCTGGTAGGCAAGGGTTACTCTATTATTATAGACTAATAGATGGCTGATCGAAGGCAGGGCATCATCTTTTCCAAAAGAAATTACGCCAAGCCGAGGTCAGGCTCGACACGTAACCCATGCCGACCTCCAACGTATGCATCAACAAGTTGACGGCTGCGGCACGCGCTAACCGTGGTGTAAACTGGCTGACACTTAAATCCCCTGATGGCCGTACGCAGTAAGAAAGACGGCGAGTACTGACCGTCTACTGCCAAGTTTTTCACCACCAACTGATCTTCGAGGCGGAGAGAAATGACCAGGATTGGTCGTTCACAGGCTTTCGCGTCCCCGCTGCGCTGTGACATAGAGATCATAGATATAAAAGGCACGACTTTTGTTCAAGGTCAATCCTCCTCTTCCCCACTTTAAATCGCTCTTTCTCGACTTTCCCACCGACAAGGCCTTCCTTACTATGACTAGTTTTAAAGGTGCCATCAACCTCCCGGTCAACAATGATAGCCCCTATGGTTATGTCCCAACTGAATCGATCTGTATATTGTTTCTGGTGTTGTTCAGCTTGTCAACAAGTATGCCGTATTCATTCACCCATCTGATTTCGTCCCTCATCAGCCCTATTGGGTAGTTGCCCATACCGGCCAAGCCACGTATTATCGGATGTGGTGGCTATTCCCAACTGTGATTACTGGTGGAATTGGAGAAATTCTTGGGTGGACGGGTAGACTATGGAGTAGTCGTAATGTCGAACTCCAAACGCCGTTCATGATTGAGTTCGTCTTCCATACCTCTCGCGTTTTATCGCAATCTCTAACATCCTCTTAGAATCTCCACGACAATTATCTCCCCCACATTTATCCTCGCCGCCAACTTCATCATATTCGGTCGCATAATAGATCATATGGGAACTGGTTATAGTCGGCTCCCAGCCAGGCTCTGTACGTTTATCTGTCCGTTCTTTGCATCCTCGTCGAGGCTAACATCACCATCGTGAACTAGATTCCAGAATTTTGATTACTTGCGATGCTATATCCCTAGTTGTTCAAGCTGGCGGTGGCGGTATCGCGTCAGCTGCAACGACTCTAGATGCTGCTAATCGAGTATGTACTCCTGGCACAGCCGTCATCGTCCTTTCCCTCATCGCTCTCCACTATTTTAGGGCGCGCACATCATGCTCGCAGGGATTGTGTTCCAATTTATAATCATCACCTGTTACCTGGCACTCGCCACCGAGTTCTTAATCCGCTGGTCCCTCGATAAGCCGTTCACCGGCCGTACCAACAGCACCCCGCGTGGTGAAAAGACTACTCGTGTTCGTATCATGTTGGAAGCTTTGGGAATTAACACACTTTGTCTATTCATTCGGTATGTCTGGCCTTCCGCTCTTAGATCCCCCTGTTCCTAATATTACTTGCTTTAGTGCTATCTACCGTATCATCGAGCTATCCGACGGATGGAGGGGACGTATTATCCATACACAGGTCTACTTCAGTACGTCGTATTTCCCGCGTTCGTCTGTTAAACCCAGATTTAAACTGAATTTCTAGACGTCCTTGACGGTGGCATGATCGTTCTTGCCATTTACACATTCAACATTATCCACCCTGGCATATTCCTCCCACAGAGGCCTTCCACAGTCGGTGGTCTTGAAGGCGGCAGTACCCCAGCATATATCGAGAACAAGAATAAGGTCGTCAGCTCAGAGTATACGTCCGCTGCCAACTCGACTGTCGCGGGTTCACATTGAGGGCTCAACGTCAGTTCAATGATTCCACTTCTTAACGGGATACAGTTGTAATGTTCCCCTACCTCTCTCTACACGCACGAATATTTTTACTCATTATGCGATGCGGCTTCACGCCGGAATCTGGACATTCAATGTACATACTTTATGATCACCTCATTAGTTTACCATTCGTCACTCATTCGATTTGTGTCTCTTTTACGACCGTTGTATAGTAAATAGTCATAGAGTGTCATCAATATTACCGGTTCCTTTTGACATGTTAACACGGGAGGTTGTGACTGCGCAATGATTCACCGGATACGATCATTGGATTTCATCGGATTCGCATACAGTCGGACTGCAAGGATCCGCTCTCCTCAGTTAGTGTTACCTCATCCAGGACGGCAGCGGCTCTTCCACTGGGACAGCTCGTCCAACGAGGTGTGACCAATAAAAACAGTCGTTGGAACCGACTCAGTTGACCAGATTCACGACCTTTCCAAGGCGAAGGGAATGAAAAGGTTGTACTATGCCTTATGATGGGTAACGATAAATGTGAATAGGAAGGCACAAAAGGTGAGAGGAAGAAAAAGAATATGTCTACAGAACAACGAAACAATCCAGAATCGAGCTGGGGACCGTCTGTGTCGGACGGCTGCGTGCAACCAACTATGCCATCGCTCCGATAGGATAGTCATAGAATCGAGGATGTCGACAGGTCGGATAAATGATACACAAACTTTGACCCTTAAACATTTGAGCTACGATGGCACGAACGATGGCGATGGCGATATCAATGTCGTAACTTATCATCGATGGCTCAAAAAGATAGTAACACATCTCGAAGCTTAGAGAAACAACCCAGGTTCGAACTGGAAACCTTCTGTGTGTCAGAGAGGCTATACCGCAACCAACTATGCCATTGTTCTGGTGTGATTGAGAGAAAAGTTGGGAAAGACACTTGAAATGTCCTGCTGTTGAGGATGCACCGAAGCTGGAAAAACTATTGCGACTTCTCCCTGATTTGTTGTCCGCCCCTCGACCCGGCCGAGTTCAATCATCTCTTGCTCGAAGACATTTCGAAGTTGTCGAAGTGCGACGCGAGGCTGAGGTCATAATCGAGAGCCTGTCTTTCCCTCGTACTATCACGAGGCTCTCCCCTCTTGCCTTACCCCGCCGTCGATCAAATCCATGAGCTTCCTATCCTTTGTCCACATACTATCCTCCAAACTCCTCAAATCGTCTTCCTAATCCTGCAACAAGATCGTTTCTTCGCCTACCTACCGTCGTGTTATGGCGCCAGTACCAATACCCACCACCCTCATCAATTCGTTAGGTTTGTATTGTATTGTATTTAGCGCATGGTTTTGAAGGTTCTAGCGAGAAGGAGTGGCTAACCGGTGAAGAGGGATCTGGTCGTTATCAATTAGCGATCTTTGAATTCGCCAAAAAGAAAACCTGACATGATAGTGGAACAATCCAGGATCGAACTGGGGTCTTGTCCGTGTGCGACAGATGTGACAAGCAACCAAGTAGGCTATTGTTCCTGTGCGATAGTGAGATGTGGACTTCGGCTTGAGCGGATCTGAGGGATCCAAATGACGCGACAAGTCCTCGATTAGACCCTGACACGTGGGATCCCGCCGGCAAAAGGGTAGACGGTGCGGATCGGACCGGTGAATATTCTGGCATTTTCGTTGGAATTCTCGTGTTTCTCGTCGTTACTTACAAGCGCGCGTTGCACTGCAGCCGGCTCTCCTCCTCCCATCGTTCTCTACCTGACCTTTGTGACTTGTCGCCTTGATTGTCGACTTCACCCACCACCGCTTCAAATCCAAATCTGCTTTTGCCCAAGTGACAAAATGTCTCGCGTTCTCATCTCACGTACACCCACTCGACCTTCCAGTTCTCGAGCGCTTTCCGCACTCCTACGCAATGCAACGCCCGGTTCTAGGACATGGACTAGTGGGTGCATCTCCCGCAGCACTATACTCGCAATCCCGAACAACGTTGGCTCGTCTGTTCGGCGGGGGTTTTCTACCCACCATAACGTTGGTATTCCCAGTTTGATGTGTACGACACGGACATTTGGACATGGACGCCGTGGATATGCTTCTCAAGGACCTGGTGTACCTGGTGGTGGTGGAATGGGAGGAGGAGGATTCCCGGGGTTTAGTTTGGGAGGACAGATGCAGAAGGGTGAAGCGCTAAAGAATTTCGTGCGTATTTGCTCTTATGAACAGGATAGTTCGACTAACGGAGATGTATAGAGTGTGGACTTGACCGAACTCGCGAAGAAAGGGAAGTTGGATCCTACAATTGGGAGAGACGAAGGTCAGTTCACCTCGTTTTTTGTGATGACCTCGTCTCTTGTGTTTCTGAACCTGTTTTTTAGAGATTAGACGGACGATTCAGAGTAAGCCTCTTAGGACCTTCTATCTTGAATTCCTGGACATTCAACGGTGAACCAGTTCTATCCCGTCGAACCAAGTCAAACCCAGTCGTATGTTCCTGCCTTGGAATCACCGTGCTCGGTTCATGACGTATACGTGTTGCAGCTTATTGGCCCTCCTGGTGTTGGGAAAACCGCAATTCTCGAAGGACTAGCAAGTCGAATCGTAGCGAAGGAAGTGCCAGAGGTACGTATACCCTTCGTGTCCACGTTCACCGAGCCATGTTGACCACCCCCCAGTCACTCTACAACAAACGAGTCCTTGCAATAGACCTTTCAGCCATCTTAGCTGGTTCTGGAATCCGTGGTCAATTCGAGGAAAAGTTTAAAGCTCTACTAAAGGATATTGAAGACGAAGAAGGGAAGGTCATTTGTTTTATTGATGAAGTCCGTGAGTCCCTCTCCTTGTTTTCTTCTTTTTTCACATAGTTTTTGACCTGGAATGAACCTTGCATAGATACCCTATTCAACATCGGAAAGGCAGAAGGAAGTATCGACGGCGGACAGATGATCAAACCAGCTTTGGCGAGGGGTTTACAATTAGTTGGTGCTACGACGCGTAAGTTTGGAAGTTATTGAACGTCGTTGAAGAAAGCTAACGTGTTGGTGTAGCGGACGAATATAGAAAGACAATCGGCAAAGACGCAGCATTAGAACGTCGTTTCCAACCTGTAACGATAGACGAACCATCTGTTGAATCGACGATTTCGATTTTGAGAGGGTTGAAGCCGAGATATGAAGTCCATCATGGTGTGGAGATTTCGGATGGTGCTTTGGTAACAGGTTTGTGATTATTCGTGCATATATGCGCACTTTCTCCTGTTGGCAAGTACTAATCCTACGTGTATTCCATTTCTCTCATCATAGCCGCAGTCTACTCAGCCCGGTACATCTCCGATAGATTCCTACCTGACAAGGCCATCGACCTTATGGACGAAGCTGCTTCTTCCCTGCGTCTAGCACAAGAATCCAAGCCGGACGAATTAGAGAAGTTGGATAGGGATGTTATGACTTTACAAATCGAATTGGAGAGTTTGAAGAAGGAAGATGATGTGTTTAGCGTTGAGAGGAGAAGGAAAGTTGAAGATGAGTTGAAGAGGAAAAAGGAGGAGGCGGAGGAGTTGACTGTGATTTGGCAGGCTGGTGGGTGTTTTGGTTTTTGGAATTTTCCTTTTGGGTCTTTTTTATGTGGTTGGAACTGGGAACTGATTAGTTTTTGTCGGGCGTAGAACGTTCGCGGTTGGACCGTGTCAAGGATACGAAGAAACAGTTGGAAGATGCGAAACATCATTTGGAGGTAGCGCAAAGACAAGGTCAATATGAAGTTGCAAGTCGATTGCGATATGCTACTATCCCTGAGTTGGAGAGGCAGTTGCCGCGGAATGACTCTGAAGTGCAACACGGGCGCGGTCGAAGTTCAGCTAAAACACAACATACGCAAGGAAGGGATTGGATGGATGAGGTGGAATCACCATTGGCAATGTTACATGACAGAGTGACATCTAATGATATTGCAAGAGTTGTGGCGAAAGCGACGGGTATACCGGTTCAGAATTTGATGAAAGGGGAGAGGGAGAAGTTGGTTCATGTGCGTGGCTTTTCTTCTTTATATATCTCCTTCCTCTCCGCTATGTCTTCCCGTCTCTCGTATAAGTCTGCTCATCGCCTTGTTTGGGCGCCTATTTCCTTGTGCTTCATGTTACCCCACGTTTACTTTGATCTAACCTCTCTTGCCCCACCCCCGCCCCCTCCCCTCGCTCTCCATTGTAGATGGAAGACGCACTTCGTAAACGAGTCGTCGGTCAAGACCACGTATTAACGGCTGTCAGCGACGCAGTTCGGATTTCGAAAGCGGGGTTACAAGCTCCCAATAGACCTGTTGCGTCGTTTTTGTTTATGGGTCCGACTGGGGTTGGGAAGGTCAGTCTTTCTTTCTATGCTTTTTTGGGGACTGACTCTGAACTTTTTGTGGGGTTGGTTCTGACTGTCAATTTTTGAAAACGAATTTAGACGGAATTGTGTAAAGCTCTAGCACAGTTCTTGTATAATGATGAGCAAAGGGGGTTGTAAGTTCGTCTTCTTGTCTTATCGATTGGTTCTGTTCCGTTGACTGCTTATATGCGCTTTGGGGTACTGATAACACCTTGTATGCGTCTAGGATCAACATCAATATGTCGGAATTTCATGATCGACATACGATTTCGAGGTTGATTGGAGCTGCGCCCGGATATGTTGGGTTTGAAGAGGGAGGTCAGTTGACGGAGGCTGTTAGAAGGAAACCGTATGGTATGTTTTCCTCACTGTGGTTTGAGAATGGCGCTAATACGACTGGGACTTGATAGCGGTTATTTTGTTGGATGAGTTGGAGAAGGCGCATAAGGTTTGCGAGGTTTCTTCTGGAGGGCAGCGATGTGAACTGAACTATGTTTTTGGATAGGACGTTGCGATGATTCTTTTGCAGATTTTGGATGAAGGGAGTATTACTGATAGTCAAGGACGGAAAGTCGATTTCAAGGTCCGTTGTCCTTCCTCATTTCATCCTCGCTATTTACGCCTTGCGCTTACCCTCCGACTTCTAGAACACAATCATCTGCTTAACATCCAACATCGGTTCTGACATCCTCGCTGACCCAACCTCATGCGATCCAACCACCGGTATCGTATCCCCCGCCGCAAAATCCGCGGTCCTAGAAAGAGTATCGGAATACTTCCCACCTGAACTTGTGAATAGGTTGGATACGATACAGGTGTTTAATAAGTTATCGTTTGAGGCTGTGGTGGATGTTGTTAGGTTGAGGATTAGGGATTTGGAGGGACGGTTGAGTGAACGGAGGATCGAGCTTGATTTGGGTGAGGGAAATGGGGTGGTGGAAACTTTGGCGAGGAAGGGGTATTCGGATGTGTATGGTGCTAGAGCGATTGAGAGAGAGGTTAAGAGGATGGTGGTTTTCCCGCTTGCGGGTAAGATGTTGAGGGGGAGTATAAGGTTTGTACTCACACCTTTTGTTTCTTTATTCTGCCATTGTCTTCGGGGTGCTAACTGATATATTCGATTCTAGGGACGGTGATGTCGTGAGGATTAGAGTAAGTGAGGATGGGGAGGAGTTAGTTATTGAGGATAATCACGAGGTGGATCCAGCGGTGGGTGCGGAGGGTCCGGTTAATCCTGAGGACCATTCGTGATTTGCGTCAATTTTGGTAGGGGTAGCCTAAGGGAGATGACGCGATGGGGAGGAGGTCGATGAAAGCCGATTTGTATCATCTAAATCTTATCCTACTCAATTCTGCATAGGTTAGCAGTTATTTTATAGCACTATGGTAA